TTTTTAACCAAACGCGCTCTTGAAATTCCAACGATATGAGGCGGTAAGAATCTTCCCCTGAAACGACGTGCCGAGTATTTTAGCGACGTCATCCGGGTCTCGGATCATGGTCAACCACTTCTCAATAAGGTGGCTCTGCATGGACGTGACGAAATCGTTTCCTCCAAGCTTCTTTCTATCAGCGATGAGCATAGTCGCCAGGGTTTGTTCACCATATCTCTTCCATAGAGTATTGAACGGAAGTTTTTCATTTCCGGTCGTTTTCTCGACGTATTTCGCCCATGCCGCAAAATTCGGGTTTTCAAGAGTGACACCGCGCTCGTTGAGTCCCAGCTTGGTAAATATTTCGTCACCATTCCATCCGAGCTTCTTCCAGATGTCAAACTGCTGGTTCTGCAATTTCACCGCCAGGTCCTTGGTCTTCGCGTCCTTGGCATTCAACACAGCTTGTTGGAGCATCTTAGCCACATCGTCCTCATCGAAACCTCTTCTGAGCACCTCGGTCATTGACAGTGACATCTTATTCTGCGCGTTATAGTCGTCAAGATATCTGCTGAGTGTCAAGAAAGTTGGGCTGGTTAGGAGATCGTCCACATCGTTCGCGAGTTTTAGCTGTTTGAGAACGCGGTCTGGTGCCAACTTCTTGCTCCTCCAGAACAGGATCTGTTGTTCCTGCAAGGTCGCCCCAATACGCTTCGTCTCCGCGACGCTCGACTTTGATGCCGCGTCGATCATCTTCGTCAGTACGTCATCATCAAAGTGCTTCGATAGTGTTGCGATCATCGAGATCTCCTCGTTAAGTGGGTTCGCGTTGTACTTGGCCACGTATTGCTCCCAAGCGAGGAACTTCGGATTCTCAAAAATTGTCTTGCCTGCCTTGACATTCTGAAGCTTGAGCTTCTCGAAGACGTCGTCTCCGTTTTTCCCCTTCTTGAGGTAGTGTGAGAGCTTTTGCTGGGTCCACACGTTCTTGAGATCGACGCCCAAGATCGATTTAAAATCAATCCCCCTCTCTTCGTTGCTGTAGGGAGTGTACGTCCTCAAAAATCGCTGGGCTGCGAAATTATGCGGTTGCGCGAACGAATGAGTCGTAGCCGTCGTGTCCGTCGAAAGCGAGAAAACGGTGGAGGTTGCCAGGAGAGTAGCAGCAGCTACTAGCACCACACACCGACGAGGCATGACTGGCTGGACAGATTTTTAACCAGGCAACGACGACAATGGAGAGGAAGTCTAAAAATGACGAAAGATGTACAGCGCACTCCATCACGCAGTGAGCATTGCTCACTGAGTAAATTGATGGTACACAGTAGTAGGGTGTATCACGCACAACGTATGCGGGATTACGTACTGCGCAATGGTAACAACCGTACGATGCTGCACGGCAACCAATCCCAAATCTCCATCCTCATCCCGGTCAAGGAGTGGGTACTGGGATGGTGCCAGTGCATAGAGCTCACGGGCACAGACAATCCTCTTTGAAGTGATATCGTCTCGAAGCCAGTTATATTACTATCCGGAGAATTCATTAGCAAGAGCTGTTCCATTATAAGGGTATCATCGACAATATGGCCACTGTGCTTACCAGGACGGTCGATTACAGTAAATGACCACGATCTTTCTTCATGCTGACGTGATGGGTGTATCGCCTCGAGTGATAAGTGGGTTTCGGACTCTGCATGGGGCGTTTTAAAAGAGGTTGGATTGCAAATGGTACCGGAAAAAGCAATTATGTTGCTGGATATATTTGAAAAGAGATCACCACGCGTCAAACTTCTTTAGTTTACGATTTCTTGATAGTAATAAATGTGGATTTTGTATCATTAAGTCCAATCAAGAGCTTAGAGGCAATGCTATTTGGGCTATGCTGACGATCAGTGGCTGTACTAACATTATGGAAATTCTCCATACAAAAAGTGTAGAGTAAAATATAGAATAAGTGTGAATTGACGTATTCAATCTGTTTTTTTTGTCATCTGTAATTCTGATACGGAAGTTACAGCAACTGTAATCGCGAGATGGATCTGCTCACTGAGAGCATCTCCAACGGTACAATCTATTTATATAAGTTGCTAACGCCTCCCCTCCCTTCACTATGGGGTACCGTCAACCACCTGCTTACTGATCTGTCACACTCCTTCGGGTTGTTCACTGGCTGAGCGTGTGTCAGCCAATCAAAGTGGTGAGATTCGTTTAGGCTGCTCTGTGGACACCACTTTATTAGTGGGCGGTGTCAGTAGGCTATTTTACATGATGCAGTCCACAAGCCAGTTCTATCCGGGTGCTCTGCCAGCTCGGCTTATTGTGCCTTTCCAAAGTTTTGGCCAATCTGACCTTTAAAGCCTGGTCCTAAGCAAGGGTGGATAGGGCTAAAGGTGGGATTTGAGGACGAACTGGGCTTAGCCAGGCCACTAAATAAAATGATATTTAACAAATAACACTGTTTGATTTTGCCGACTATGATCCAATAATACTTGATTGTGGTGGACCTACGTAAGGGCTCCGATTTTTTTTTATCTAAAGGGTGCCTTTTAACAAATTAAGGGCTGAATGACAAGTATTTGTTGGCCATTTACCCCTACGTAAGGTATCCACAACAGATTGATTTTAAATCAAATATAGGCTACTCATCAGACATACGCTGGCGAGGCATTGTCTTGCAGTATGTCTACAATATTTAAATCAGCGTAGTTGCCGGTGTACTGGGCGCCTCGGCCAGAAGCCTTCGGAGATAATACAAGACAACAGGAAATGTCGACGACACCTTAAAGAATGAGTGGTCATCTAAATGGGCTGGTCAAATATTTCTTTGATTGCCATCGTCTTTTTTTCGTCAAAGGGTTAGGCTAAATTTTAGTCGGAAGCACCCGCTTCCGACTAAAATTTAGAGGGCGTTTTGGCAGAAAGGTACAATAACACTTTTCAAAGAGCTCTACTTGTGTACCGTATATGTAACGATTTTTTTTACGAATTAAAGACTTTTTACAAATAAAATGCCACCGTCAAATGTTCTAGATTTAGATGCCCTCTACGATTACAAGACCACAACTTTAGCGCTCAACCAACACCATTCAAGGATAGCTTATCGGTCCTGATCGTCGCTTGGAAGCGTTCGGACGCTCTGGAGTATTCTCACAATGGCAACCGTCGCCCGCCTCCTGTAGCTACTGTGTGTGGTAGCGTGCGCCAAACTTGGCGCGACTAGCCTCAGTCCGTTGTGCTGAACTCGATTGAGAATGCCTGTTTTTATGCCGATCGCACGCGCTGGATAAAATGGAATCGCAACGTGTACGGGTGGAAGTTTCAGCAGTCTTGGAGCCGTGATGGGGCAGGGAACCAGCTAACCACAGAGCTCGAGAGCGAGGACACATTCAATCTCGACGACATCGATGTGAGGTCGGCGTAGTGGAGTAGGAACTAGAAGGCCTCTACGAATAGAAGAGTCCTCGTCAAATTTGATCCGTTTCATAATAAATAGAGGACCGATCACTATTCGTAAAAATCCGTAAGTCGAGTAAAATTATTAATATGAACCAACCCGTTCCGGACCAAGAATTTATAATCGGCAGAATAAAACCAAAATAGGAGGGATAAAACCCAATCGATGAATACCTGGGACTTGACAAAGAGTAGAATAGATTCACTACTAGTATTAATAATATCTCCGACGACAGTACCAGTAACACGCACCGTGGTATCGACCAGTATTTTGTCCCACAAAGAGCAGTATATATAAATTGGAAACCGCGACAGAAACAGTAGTGTATAACTAGCTGCGTTATTCTGAAAGTCATCCGACACTAAAGCAACGTTCTGAGCGTTTATAATCGATTCGATAGGGTCATTGTGTAATGTTGTCGCTCCAACTACACATTGCATGCTGGACGAAGGGGAAAACTGTACAAAGACAACCAAAGATGAGTTCACGAGGTATAAACACCATTTAGAATAGTACGGAACACAAACACGTAGATTGGTTAGGCTACACCTCATAGAACTAGACAATCGAGCAGTAAACGTACCATCCCTGTGTCCTCTGCGCCAAGTCTTCCAGAATGAAGTTCACACACTGTGAACACCGCTCTGCACTTCAACCAATAAAAACGTTCAGATAGTTTTGTTGGTCAACTGTCGTACGCAAGTGATTGAAGCTCTTCTATTAATACTCTTGTCAAATGCCCATATTATACGGTATATGTATTTCCATCATCAAAATCGGGCCGGAGAGCTTTGCTCACAAACATACACCTGTACATCGAAGTACGCACTATCAGAATGTACACGATATCAAACTGGTATTAATAGCTACATAATGACATCAGGAGAAATAAACCTATTCTAAGTTACAGGACAAAACGTATGTAGCCGTCTGCATGTATTTATTTGTACATATTAGAAATGCAACTGAGAAATAGGTAGATAAATCTATCATGTGCCTGTATAATCTGTTGTCAGAATCCGTGCTGTGAAAGTTGAGTTTGAAGATGAAAACGTTGTATATCTGTTTGAAAGGTTATGTGCAGAATAGAGTTGATTGACATATTTTTATTATTTTAATAATACAGCAAAATTGTGGACTTTCATTTTTATACTTCCTCTGGTTGATAAATGATTGCAGGAAGGCAATATGACAGGTTGGGAGGTTTTTTGTTTGCCAAATTTTATTGATCAAGTGATATCAAATTTCAAATCATATTGAAAGTGTTAAATGGAAGAAGAATCGAAATCAGTGCGCTGCCACGACTAGCAGCTCTAAGCAATACAATTGCGTATAGATCCCTGCTACACGACAAGCTAACAGGCAACCGCTTGGCTCGCCGGAGCTTTGCCTTCCCCAGGTGTGGTATCTTGTACAAATTACCTCCCTTCTGTCGCAGGATTTCCAGCATGCACGCCTGTAGAGACAGGAAGATGTAATCCACTGTGTCAGTCTTCATGTTTCGATACGCCTCCTTCACCGACGCAATAAGAGCTGCGATACCCTTTCTTGGTAAACGATGTTGTAGGCTCTGCATGGACGCGAATACTCCCAAGTCGAGACAATTTAGATCCGGCGAATTGGGAGCTTGACACCAAATCCTGATGTTCCAGCTTCCTTCGGTTCCGCTGCAACGATGTCCGGGTCGGACGGTGGAACATGAGGCTTTGCGTTATCTTGTTGAACAAAGATAACCTGCCCGCTGTCATTTCTTGGCCACTTTTCCTTAATTGCCGGAAACACTTTAGTCAGCAAGTAGTTCTTGTACACTGTCCGATCAACCGTGTCAATATTGCGAGTGTAAATGCCTCCTTTGGCTCAGTTCTTGCTTCGACGCTTTGCCGCATACTGCGCCGTGAATGACCATATTCCTACTTTTCCATCCCAGTGTTGCTTACGATGGGGGTCGTACCTAGTCAAACAAACAAATTATGAAAGGTTATTAACCCCTTCAAACCGGGAGCCTGCATATGCAACTTTTCAAAAATGATTAACCTCCAATAATGCAGGTTAAGCTCAAATATGACTTAAAATTTGTATAGGTTTTTTTCAAATCCTCGGCAATACAAAATCTAAGTCAAAAAGGACCCTACAAGTGTTGGCTCTCTGTACGTGTGGTAGCATAGCAGATACACATAACAAGCGACGAGACAAAGAATACTTCTCTAAATTTGAATACAAGATATAAAAGTTTATGTGGTAAACATAAGTTTTACATTATTTTCTAAAGGTAAAATTTTCGCTCCCTCTCCAGCCACTCATTCGAGAGTTCGCGCCCGAAAAGAACGGAGCCAGGCTCGCTGCATGAAATGGTTGCTGTCCGAGGCAAGTACGTGAGCAGTCAAAACATCCCGTTTGGCGTGGCGTGGAAGGAGCCGAAGAAGCGCTTCTAAAAAGCCTTCGTCTACCAGTTCTGCACCATTCCAGACGCCACCAGCACCTCCTGCTGATCCTGGTGTCACAACAAGACCACCACCCGCTCAAGCGACCACCACCCAGCCCACGTCTCCACTCCAACCTTCTTCAGGTACCCAACAGCCTTTGGCGCGACAAACGCAAGTGAAGCGCACTCGAAAAGTGCCCAAGCTACCTGCCACGGGTAAGCAGAAGCGTCGCCGCTCATGTGATCATCAGTTGCATGTTCATGATATGATATGCAGGATATGCTGGATAACTAACTAGCATAATGCATTAGCTCGTTCAGTACATCCGTCTGAAGAAGCCACCCGTACGCTATCCTGAATATTTCTTTGACCACATGCGTATTGATGCAGTCTAACGCTCGTGAATGCACTATAGTTGACGACGCCATATCTGATGAAGAAAAAGCGCCAGTGCCAGTAGATGAACCCGTTACTCAAAAATGTAACTTCATACAAACAATTGATTAGGCTGTGTAGCCAGCAATCGCCACCATCTCGCTTACCACCACTGTAGTACTCCAACAGCTCTTCCTCCCCAAGAAAAAAGTCGATGCCCTTCGTGCCGTTAGCATGTCCGCCAGGGCGAACGTACTTCCATCTCGGATCTAAGTCCTTCGCTCGTGGTCTTACAGATGTCCGTCGTCGCTCAAACCCCCCCCCCCCCCCCTCCCATCGTGTTGCCAGGTCCTCATGGAGGTGACGAAGAAACTGCTGAATCGAGGGACGAGGGGAATTCCAACATTGAGTCTGTTGAAGAGAACAACTGGGATCTCTTCTGCCCGGGGCATCCACATTCAAGCGGTCAGTTGTTTCTGCAAGTATATCTTCTTAACCCTTTCGCGAGTCACTTTGGTAAACTATAGTATACACATCTAGGATAGTCGGTATCATAAGGAGGCATTTTGCCTCCTTTAAGGCGAGGGATGGACCAAGTGTGATTTTCTTGGTTTTTCTATGCCCATAACGACCTGTCGTAAACGTACTTAATTATAAAAGAAGGCATTTTGCCTCCTTTAACCCAATAAAGGCCGGATTCTGTATTCGATAGAATAAGGGTGATTGCAGGTATTACTAAGTCGCAAGCTTGCAAGCAAGAAGGTGGGGAGAAATTTCCCGCATATAAAAATTTATATGGATGGGGATGGGGCTTTTTATCTTGCAAATTGTCGACGGGGAGATAGACAGGTATTTTCCCTGAGTCATAGAGAATACGGTATAAACGGCTTAGAGGTTTGAAAATCCTACCGCAAACCATTTTCCTGCATCCCCCTCTTTCTCCTGCTCCCACTCATTAAGCAAAGCGATGGACGACTGGGTGGATCCGAATGCGTTCCGGAAGCTGTGGAACAAGCTGATCAAGAGTGGGTGGAAGGCTAGGCAACCTACGGGTCTCGAGGTGGACTACACGTACGTCAAGCCTGGTGTGGTCGGTAAACTGCGCAAAAATCAACTCAATGCAGAGTATTTCATCGGTAAGTCTTGCTAAATGGCGCTGCAAAGCTCGTATACTAACTACGCATACGCTGTAGGTCCCAAGGAGCTGTGGGAGTACGCTAAACGGGAGGGATTAGTTACCGACGTTCTCCAATATGACGCGGCCCCGCCTTCAAAGAAGCCACCTATGGGAAAGCTTGCTGCATACGCAGCCGCAAAGCAACGTGCCAACACCCTTCAATCGAAGCCTGGCGTAGTGGGGACTGCTAATGCAAAGGCTACTCCACATGAAGGTGCTTCGGTGACCAGTACAACGCCGGTTGCTACAGAACAAGCGGCTACGGCGACCAGTACTACGGCGACTGCTACAGAACAAGAGGCTACGGCGACCAGTACTACAGCGGCTGCTACAGAACAAGAAGGTGTGATGGGTGGTCGTTCATCCGCAGCTACAAGTCGCGAACAGGGCGTGCTCAACAAAGAATCCAAGTCCGAAGACACAGCCAATGATTTGGACAGCTTCAACCGTGATGACGTTTTGGACGCAATGCGCGTGGAAAACCTCTTTGGTCCCATTGCAGCAGATGATATCAATGTCGCGGGTGAGTCTTTTGCCTATGGAGCTGAGTCTGAGGACGACGATGAAGCGTTTGACGAGACTGGAAGCGACGAAGAAGAGTTTGCCGATGAAGTGGAGTCCGACCGACAGTTTGAAGACGAAAGTGATCTTTTTCAACAAGATGATCCGGCGATGCGAGAGCTAGGTAACTCAGGGTGGGAGATATACGATCACGATCACTGCGGTAAGGCGGTCGGATACAGAATAACACGTTGCGTGTGCTAACGTATTCTGTATTGCCATTGGTACAGCTGATCGAAGCCTGAGCGGAGCTGATCTCTACACGGGCAGATGGGGAATCACGAAGTCTGCTGCGGCGTTTGCAGACTCCCCGCTCAGTATGCTGTTTTATTTCTTGCCCAAAGCTCTGTGGAAGAATATCACGGCAGAGTCAGAAGCGTACCAGAAGCGGTGTATTCCAGCAATCGCGGAGAAGACACGTGAACGCCAACTCGCTGTGCAAGCCAGGGACCCCAAAAAAACTGTGGATGACTTGGACGCCATTGTGGACAAGCTCGAAAGGCAGAAATCCATCCGAGAACACGAGATACTACATGTGCTGGGCTTGCTTGTGGCGCGCACTCTATGCGGACACACCGATGGTTTGGCAAAGCACTGGGCCGTTAGCGAGGACGGTGCTGTCCCGCGCGGCACGTTCGGAAGATACATGAAACGTGAAAGATTCAGGACGATAACGCGGTTCCTGCACTTCACGAGCACCGGCAGCGAAGGACGAACCACCGACAAGGCGTTCAAGATTCGTCCAGTGTTACAAGTCATCGAAAAGACCTTCCGTCGGGGGTTCCGGCTTGGCCCTCGCGTGAGCTTCGATGAGGGAACTATCCCAAATCGAAGCCAGTACAACCCCATACGGGTGTACAACAAGGAGAAACCGCACAAGTATGGAACCAAGTGTTACATGACCTGCTGTGCTGTCACGGGATACTGTGCAAGGTGTGGGGTGGATTCGGTATTCGACAGAATACAACGTTCTGCATTCTGTCCTATTCTGTATAAACTCCGTATCTGACAGAACAAGCTAACCACACCCTTTTTGCTGTTCTGTATACGACAGAGTTGAAGTATATCTTGGAGCCGAGCCTGACAAGAAGAAACGTGAAGGAGCTTCCCAAAGGGCAGTCATCAGGAACATCTCCAAGACTTTCGAAGGTTTGCCAAAGCGGAGGCTGATCGTCGCAGATAATTTCTACAGCTCACCTGCTTTGGCGCTTGCACTGCTACCCATGGGATTTTACTACGTGGGAACTCAGCGCGTGGATCGACTGGGCTGGCCAAAGGAAGTGATGTTCAAGCAGAAGCGCCGGCCACAGTACATGCCACGCGGAACCTATCGAATTGCCCACGCTAAGGAGTATCCAGCGCTAGTCGCTACGGCGTGGATGGACTCAGCTCCCGTTCACATGATAGCAACGGGATGTTCTACGGTGCTGACGCATGTGGCCAGGAAGGACAAACGTACGGGGGCTATCACGCAGGTGCCGTGCCCTCAGTTGGTTGCAGACTATCATTCGGGTATGGGGGGCGTGGACACCCACGATCAAATTCGGCTCCAGCGTTACTCCATCCAGCGCTATGTGGGGTTCAAAAAATATTACCGTCAGCTCTTTCTGGCGTTCGTTGACATGGCAATCATCAACGGGTTCATCCTGCACCGGATCGTCATGAAGCAGAAAGGGGAAAGGGTCCCTAGCCATGCAGAGTACATGCGCCGACTTCAAGTGAAGCTACTGGCAGTTACCTCTGTGAGCTTTCGGACGAATCGCTATTGCGAAGACCTGGTGAACACCCCGCTACAATCGCAAGAGCACGTGCTGCGCAGCACGAAAGAGCTGTATGAGGCCAAATCGGGAAGGCGCAAAGGAGACAAGAAACGTCGTCAGTTCTTGTGCAAAGTGTGCTCTGCCTTGAGCCCACCCAAGGTGAAGAGCTTCGAAAGCCGTTTTTACTGTCATGAGTGCAGTATTACCATGGGAGGATACGTGCCGCTGTGTAATACCGTCAGACGCACGGAGGCAGGAAACACGTTGACGTGCAGCCAAATCTGGCACGGCTGGAGGGCTGGAGGGGGGGGGCATTCCATCTCACCTACGAAAGAAAATTCGATTCAGAAAGCGCAAACGCGGGGAGGACTACAACAGCAACACGGACGACGGGGATACTGACGACAGCAGCTGAGTTTAGTGGCGGCGAGAAGTTAGTAGCTAGCTAACTAAAACAAATAGCAGCTTCATTTTGGGTACCATTCAGTTGTTTGCTCTCTTCCTTCTTCCTCACCAAACTTTCGGCTAGTTCTAGCCTTCATACTTCTCTGTAAGTCTAGAACTAGCCGAAAATTTGGTGAGAGCCGCGTGGCGCGAAAGCTTGTCCACTGCTGGCCACCTGAAGCGGTCGGAAACCTTGATCATATTGGGGAGGATTCAAAACAAAGAGACTTTTTGATGGTGAGCTATCCTGCCCTGGCCAATTGAAATCGTTGAAAAATTCATCTGTTGGAAACATGGCTGCGTCTTTGCGCCACCACGCAGCGCTTTTGTTCCCATGCGCAGCGTCTAGCGGTGAAAGGGCTTACTACAGATAAATTGTTGCAAACGTCGAACTATAGTTTAAACAAGATGTTACCTAAATCTGTATCCGACAAAATAAATTCCGGCCTTAATTGGGTTAACATGGATACATCGTCGTACTTGGTTGAAAACCAGGAAAAGGGGGCATTCTGCTTCCTTTTATCGCGAAAGGGTTAACACAAGCATAAAAATCCGTTATCATGAATATTGAGTAAGGTATCGTGTATGTGCAGCATACGCACTGAATTGCATTGTAAGACATACCCGTTTCGTTATGAATCTCGCGATGAAGCGGCCGAAGGTTGTAGCGGTGCAACTACGCCCGGATGATCCATTAAGTCGATGAGAGGGGCTGTGGGGTCAAGCCTGCACGGGACACAGTATGCTGTTCGGGAAGCTGGCTTAGGAGAAAAGCGGTGGGCGCCGATTCCATCGCCAAGGATAGCGCAATGGCCAACATTGGGCAAGTGGTAAAATCCTCGTCCGGAAAAAGAGAAAGACCTTGCTCTTCGAATGTCTTCACTCGAATGAAGCGGACGAAGAAGATATTTCCCGAGCCGATCGATAGATTCTCCTTTCGCAGTAACGTGATGTCAGACGCTCGTCCGAAAGAAACAACAACGGACACAGGATTGCTGTATCGTGATAGTCGGAAGCCGTAGCAGCAGTTGAATAGTCATTTTCTTCAAAGCTTCTTTCGTACATACAGGTGCCTTGTTGACAAAAGTACCGGACTCGCGCTTCATGCAGTATCGCTCCAATACTTGAGCAGATTCTGCTCCGTCGCTGGTCGAAGCAGTGGAAACTGCTCTAGCAGCCAGTTCTTGCCCTGTCGGTAGCACTGCATCACCGAATGTCTAGCAAAAAGCTGATCGTTGCGGCCTTTCTTGAAAGCTAAATGCATGCCGAACTTGTCCACCACGTGCCTCTTGCACGGTAGCAGCGTTATCGCGCTTCATGCACACCTCCAGGTACTCCATGTCACGCCTTCCTCATTGAGGAAGCCTTGAAGGAACGAAACGCGCTCTCGCGTGCGCGCGTTGTATTGACAGGTGCAAGGCCTGAGAGACTCATGGAGTGCCGGAGAGGTCGGGGTTTGCGTGTTATGTGTGAAATACGCAAATGATTTAAAAGTTTGTAGGGGAATATCAATAATAGCTAGTATTGCTCCGACCAGATATGTCGGAGCTGTTGCTTACAAACGCAACTCGCATTGGATTGGTCAAAATAATGCGCTATCTTTGTTTGATTCGATGAATTGAAATCCAGGCCTGCTGATTGATCAGTACTGTTATAGTGAGTTCTAGTATTGTCGTAGGTTTTAACGATATTAATCCATAACGGCACCTGGTGCAGCCTTGCGGGACCGAGAGGGCCCGCCTCGGCGTGAATTACCAACTAACTATGCGAGTAGTGCAGTGAACCCGTGGCGAGCGGAACGAAGACACTGGGTACTAAACATATGCATGCGCCCGCGCCGCGAAGCTGCGGCGCTTGGCTGGTGACGTAATAATTAAACAATACTTCATCTGGTTGATAATGATTGCAGGTTTCAGACATTTTGACCAATAACACCGCCTAAATTACGTGTTTACAGCGTCTAATTGGCTAAAACAAAAGCCTCGAATTTCCTCTTTCGATAGTCACCAGTTTCACCTACAACGGACGCGTGTAGCTTTCACCATTACAAGTTGTGCTCTGCAGGTACCAAGTGCAATCTGAAGCCACACCCGCCACGACTGCAATTCTGCCAAACTCCGCTCCAAAGCATACCCAAGCCTAATCTAACAGATATCGAGCGCAAACCCATCATTGACGAACTTCTCAAGCTAAGTGACTACGGTCTTTTGCCCTCGGGAGTGTATGTTTAGGTTAGTCTAAAATTCGGTTGTGCACCCACTACTGTGAGTTGTATATGGAAGCGGTACGCCGTCGCCGTCGCCGAAGGCGTCGTAGGGGGTGTATGGGCTAGCCAGATCAAAACGAAGTGCGGTAGGAAGCGGAAAACCCGCGATGAGGTCAGGGAGAGCCTAGCAAAAGTACCTGTTGAAAACCGTTCTGTTGAGCGTCGTGTCGCTGAGGCTGCTGGAAGCTCTAGACATCTCGTTCGTTGGGCGGTGAGTGAAAGCATCATATCGTGAAAAACAACGTTCATCAAGCCAGCATTAACCAGCCAAAACAAGTTACAGCGTGTCGAGCACGCGTTGTCGTTCATCGACGACGCAACGCTACACTTTGAATCTATGACCGATCTTGTTCACGTTGACGAGAAATGGTTCTACGCTGACCGTAACCGCCGTTCTACCTTGTCTTCGACGGCGAAAAGCTCCCCCCACGGTCCTGGAAGAGCCAGCGCTTTATCCCAAGACAATGTTCCTGGCCGCACTGGCCTAAATCTCAATAGTTTATATTTTAAATTTTTAACCCCCTTCAAACCGGCTGATTTTTCCTTTCCTTAACCCTTTCGTGGTCAATGGGGGGCATTTTGCCCCCTTTGGAGGGCGTATCCTTGAGTACCGCTCGTGTAACCCACGAATGGGGGCAAAATGTCCCCTTTCATTATTTTTGTGTGTTGGACGAGGCGGATTCGCCCTTTCTACTTGAACTACAAGGATTTCCAGAAGATTTGCTGTAGTACCGTTGTTTATGAAAGGGGACAAAATGCCCCCTTTGATGGCCTACTGACTTGACCTTCTACAGTGCTGCTATTATCTATAGGGACACTAAAGATTTTGTTGTTCTACTCGCATTACGCGGAATTAGATTATGCAACTCGGTCTAAAGTTGACTTACACAATGACTGACAACTGGCAGAAACGGTTTTTAAAAAATGTGCGTATTGCAAATTCTAAAGTGAAATTGCCATTTTAGGGGGTGTTCCTATCTATAGGGACACTAATTATTTGTCAAGATACTGAAGTGACGTTTCATTTCTATTGGCTAAAATTATGCAATTAGCTCGGAACAGTTCTTTTCTCCCTCTAGACCACGCGCGGAATCCCCAAGCAACTCACGAATGCCACGAAAGAAACGATTGTCGGCGGAGGAGATAGGACGAGTGAAAGCACATTTTGCAGACGGGAAAAGCAAACGCTGGATCGCCCGTGCAATAGCCCGCAGTGTCAATGCTGTATTCAACGTCCTTCAACCTCCAAAGCTTCCAAAAATAAAAAAACGCCAAGGAAGGCGCCCTAAATGCACTAAGCGCCTGGTCCGTCAGGTGCTGCGACTTGCCACCGTGAAAAAACTATCTTCTAAACGGATTTCGGAGGCAATCGGCCACGTACTACGCCCAAGTACCGTCAGAAAGCTGCTTAACTCGTCGGCGATCGCCAAGTGGATCAAGCGGAAACCGTCACCGGCCATCAAGCCGAACCACAAGGTGGCTAGAGCCGCATTTGCTGCCGAATTTCTAAGCAAAACGCGCATCTGGCGTCGCGTCATCTTCAGCGACGAGAAGAAGTTCAACTTGGACGGTCCGGACGGGTACCAATACTATTGGCACGACGTTCGGAACGACCAAGAAATCTTCTCATACGCACATTTTTTCAAAAGCCGTTTCTGCCAGTTGTCCGTTTTTGTGTATGTCAGCTTTAGACCGAGTTGCATGATCTAATTCCGCGTAATGCGAGTAGAACAACAAAATCTTTAGTGTCCCTATAGATAATAGCAGCACTGTATACCATAATATAGCCAGGTCAAAAGTACCCGTTCGCGAAAGGGTTAAATTGCATATGCAAGATAGTTTGACTTGGTGTTTGTAAACTTTTACTTGTTACAGAGATGGTCGACGAATCGAACGTTGCAATAACCGGTGCAAACTGCATATTAACATGCATACACGACTGCAAGTTTAGGCTATAAACTGCATTATTCATTCCATTTCCGTAACATAGACTGACTTCCGGCCGTCTGGTAGTACAGCAATAGGCGGGTGCAGAAACGGTAGCAATTTTAAAGATATTTCGATGTCGAAATTTAGAAACTGTCCAATTGCGTACATATTTTGAAGGTTTTCTCATCCAAGTGGCGAGCAATGAAAAGGTCAGTTTTATGGCTCATACAATTATGAAGCCTATAATACATCTGAGCATGGACGTCCGGCTCTGGCCTCACGGACTGCACAGTAAGCAAAATGAATCGAGGATTGCACTTGATTCTCAACCTGCAAGAGATATGCACAGACAATTTACACTGAAGCCATTACTAAGCAAAAACACAGACACTGATGATAAAATGCATATTCACCCTTTGCTATCCTGCATATGCATGATACTTAATCAGCAGCGTCTCTCAGTCTTTTGCGTGATCCACCACCTTTCGTTGGAGTTGCTGGGCGCAAACGAATGTGGCGTTCTTGGTTTGAAGGTCGCAGCTTTCCTTCACTCCATTCCTTGTGCCACACGTCAAAGCAGGTTGTCAACTCTCCGCGAATCACATGCCTTGGGCGCATACACAGGTAGATAGGCGCATTACCATCGCACTCGGAGCAGTAGTACGCCGTCGTGTGGGGCTTTGCGCCCTGCATCAGAGAGCAAACTTTACACGCACGCTGACGCCGCTTCGGCTGCGTATCTCGGCTCCTCCATTCATCCACCAACTGGGCTACGTGGGTAGTAACGTGCCCCGCCACACCAAAACCCGACGCACCGGCGATCTGCTCCCTCTCACAAAACGTGTTTCCGTCGAACATGTCCGCTTCTTGGAGCTGGGTGAGCTGCAAGTGGAGGCGCTTCATGAATTTAACGTGAGTCAACGGCTTTGAAGTCTTGTCCTTGTGGTAGGCCTTGTGCACAATGTAGCTGTTCACTATAGCGATGTCAATAAGCCCCAGCACGAGGCTCTTGTAATACTTCCGAAAAGTGACAGCCCGCTGGAGGGAGTATCGTTGCAATCGGAGCTGGTCATGTACGTCGATGCCCCCCAAAAAAAAAAAAAAAAAAACTGATGGTAGTCCTTGATAATACGGGGGGCGACGCCTTCGTGGTGTTCACCAGCTTTGTCTTTGCGAACGACTCTATCCAAATCCACACTTCCACCCGTAGCCAAGAAGTGTACAGGTTTTGAATCCATCCAGCAAATTGCGCGTAGGCCAGGTACTTTAGAAGACTACACAATTCCTACACGTCCCCCGATCCACATCTTTTGGCTGTGTTTTCATCTTACAAAAGATCTGTTTGCAGTACCCAACGCGATTCGTCATTATAGTGCCCACACAATAGTACCCCATCAGTAGTAGCTGAATCAGGAGAGCAACCGAGGTGTAGAAGCGATCGATGACAACCAGTCTCATGCGAGCAACGGCGCGTCACCGAACACTTCGCGCAGGTTCCAAACGACGGCAGCAGGGCCTTCCTTCTTGTCGAGTTGGGCAAAGTCGCTTGCATAATTTTTCTTGCCGCAGTATACTTCAAACCTGCATAATGCAGTTTAAACAGGAACAAACTTCCATTAGTAAACTGAATAATACAGGATAAGAAATTTTTAGAACCAAAAAAAAAATACCTGATGCAGTACGCCGTATGTGCACTGCACAACATAAAGAGCTTCGTTCCCCACTTGTGCGGTTTTGCTTTCATGTAGACGCGCATCTTGTTGAAGCTGCTGCGGCTTGGAAGCACGGCTTCATCAAATGAAAGCTATACAGGTGGCACGTATCCTTCGCGAAACGTCCGCTGCAGCACTTCAACGACCTTGCGAATCTTCCAGGCTCGATCCGTGGTCGCTCTTGGGTCGTCGTTATCATTGAAGTGTAGATTTCTGCATATATCCATGAATCGATCTCTTGCCATCACAGAACTGAGCGCTCCACGTGGAATCACCCTCGTCGGTGGTTTTCCAGTGGTTTGCCAGCTTTTCTCAGTTTGGGCAAATTGTTCGCGCGATCAGTAGTCCCACGAAGCGGCACAGCTCGTGTGGTTTGATTGGAGGAACTGCTTGAAGCTCCTGTAGCACATCGCGCCGTGTCTTCTTCTTCGTGGCAGGATTCGCTTGACAGCGTCGCTTGTGGCGCTTGTACGCATCGGCAACACGAGCGTGGAGCATATCTCTTTGATACTTGTTTGAACAGACAGCAACGTGCTGCCACAATGCAACCGGCATGAAGTAAAAGAACAACGCCATAGGCGAGTCCCCACGATGCAGTACTTCAGGAGTGGGTCCGGAATAGCCTTGGCGAAGTCCCGGGTAGCTACTAGCGCCTTCAACAGGAACATAAGGAGTCTGTAGCTCATCATACACGTCCGGTTCTTAAATTGGACCCCATCCAGTAGTCGAAAATTATCTCTGTGTTCTGTCCAGCAAGTTACCCGCCAAAACAGCGTCGGCGCCTCCAAATCCATCCAGAAATTCCTTTGCCAGCGCAATATCCATCTCAGGGTCCGGCTCCGATCCATCGGCTGCACTGGCATTTGATACCCAACCACTGCAATCAGACTGGATATCTGTGACAACGTCGTCCCTTGAAGTCAACAGAAGACGCGCCAGGTATCCACAGCAACGTCAACCGTGTCTTGGGGAAAGCTGCAATAAAGGCTGGTGTGACAGAGCGTTTGACATCTCATTCATTTCGTCGGGGTGGGGGTCAACATGCCAACGGTGCTGGGATGTGTGTTGAGTGGATTTTCGATCGTGGTACTTGGAAAATGACGCCGACGAACAAGACCTTCGCGTACGTCTTCAATACTCCTGCAAAAGATCATAAAGTTTCTCGTGTTCTCTGCAATGCGACCTTGAAGAAACCGTCAAACGGTAAGACCTCGATTCTTTTGATTCTACCACGAAAGATCGGCATTCGATCTGTTGCTTCAGAGCTATTCGCGGCTTCGTCAGGACTCGCCTCAGAACAGTACAATGTCAATGCGCGCGTCGTTCTGGACAGCGTCATGACCTACCTGATCCGCCACTATCCCGCGCTGATGGCGCTTGCAGCTGATAGTCCTGCAATTTAATGTCTGGAGGCGTGTGCCATTGAGAGAGGGTTCTTCGTTAGTGATCTCCTCGCTTGGTCGTCATACCTTGCCTCTGTTTCCTCCAAACCTGACACCTCAATCGCACAAGACACAACGGCCGACGTCACAAAGCGCCCCGTGTGTCGTCGTCAAACAGCCTTGATTAAACAGTTAATCCAGGTGAACAAGACTATAGATGCCCGGTTGTCTGTGATGGAAGCCAAGATCTGCAACAGACAAGTGAGTGTACAAATAGCGAATAACCACGCAAGCGACGACGTACCTCTCCGGCTTCAAGTTTGAAAGACGCTTGGTTCACTTGGTAAACTCTAGAACCGCGGATGTGGAGTTGAACGGACCCAGAGACTATGCATGCGCTTACCCCACGCTGTTCCTCGAAGGCGGCTTCAAACTTGTTGAGAGCTCCCCGCAATAACGTGACGATGTCCTGAAGATTGGTGAGAGTGCCGAAACCGCGCTGTTGACGTTCCTGAAACAGCACAACATCACAGCCCGTGGCGCGCAGAATGTCCTGAAGTCCATGCGCAAACTTCACAAAGATGGCAGTCTAAACCAGCACATTCTCCGCTATCAGCAACTCCAAGCTTCAGGTCACATTCTTGATCCTGCCCCTTCACATACAACAAACCTATTTTAGTTAGTTTCCGGTAAGTAAATGCATAAAAACAATGTTACCTATTCATGTAGTCCAGTCAATGCTTCTGCAATCGAGCGCCCCACGTGTGCTGCCACTCAGTTTGATATCCGCACCCAAGCCTACACAACTCCATCTTCATGCCCCACCAAGAACGTCGTCAGCTCGTACAAGGAGTTCAAGTCGTGCTGCATTGCTACATAAAAAAACACAAGCTTCGAATTAGCGATGAGGCAATCCGCCACCTACGACTTACCATAAACACGACTGTAGCCTCCGCCGCCCTGCTGCCAGCCATCGACGTCATTTGCCCGAGAGGAAGACATGCCGCGCGAGCCTGGAGGACGTACGCGAGTGCCTGGTCGAGTCACCTGCAAGAAGTTCTTCGAAGACGAAGCTGTGAAAGACAACACGCTCAACGAGACTGAAGCATAAGGATAGGCATGGCTAAAAGGGTTAATACAGCGTGTATTACAAGTTAATCAACCGTAGTTATCGTATGAATTGGTAGGACCGTATTGAACACTAAGCTTAACCTCCATGTGGAACAGCAAAATTAACCTCATTACAGAGCACACTAAACGCAGTAGAAGTACTGTGTCGAACACAAAACTTAACCTCCTTGTGGAACAGCAATGTTAACCTCAACGCAAGCAAGCACACCACGCATGAAAAGCAGAGGAGGTCGCACAGCGTACAAACACGTGAAAATGCAAAAATACATAATACCGTGGTAGCGTCACAATGGCCCAAGCAGTAGAGAGGATATCTCTTGTGCCTTGGGAAAACAAAATCAAGAATGACACTGAGTTTGACTTGGCGGTACTTATACATGCCCGTCGTTAAAAAAGAACCTTGTTTAAAGGTTTTACCTACATTTATAATGCTTCATGCGTAGCTCATGACGATAAAGCTGTTTGTTCGTCTACTAGGATCACAATCTGGATAGAGACAAAATTCAAAAATGCAAAAATCGGTGGTGTGTGCAGCGGCTTCAGTAGGCAGCACATACCTCTGAAGAATGCATGCACTGGCTTAGTATGTGGTCAATGTTAGTGTCATTCCAAAGGTGATATGCGAAACCACATCTTCTGCAGGTATACAGAAACATTGCTTATCAACGCGTTTTAAAATTGCTGGAAGCTAACTTAATGGGAGTGACTATCCCCGGACTCAGTTTACCGGCTTCAGGTACCGACTTCAACGTATTAATCCGACTGTCCGAGTAACAGCTGTTTTCCCAGAAGAAGCTTTATATGATCTAGTAAATCGTCGGTGACTTGGACTGGAATCACATCTGCCGATCCAGCAATACGAAACATCCAAAAAAAAACGAGATATATTACCTTCCCGGAAAAATCACAATACTCAGCGAATTATTTTCTCCATTCCTCGCCGATATTTCAGACCAATTCATATTTTGAAAGATGGAGAATCTTGGTCTCGGATCTTCCATCATACCTGAGCTAGCCAAAAGTACTGGCTCAGATCGTTTTTTTTTTTTTTTTGGTAACCGCGGCACTCCACCCTCCAAGGAACCCTCTGCTGCTACGGCTCTGAACTGGCAGGACTCAAATTATCTACCTTTTTGCCAATCACTACGAACAGAAGTATGGCGGAATTGTGCATTGACAAGCGATGCAAATGAACGCGGTTTGCATCTGCAATACTATGCGCCAGTCGAGGAGTAATACGACGTGAAATGGCATATTCAAGGATATGCGCGAGCGCTACCCCAACGAATTAGTGTAAATTTGCGTTAAAATAGTCGTTTTACTGCCTAGTACGTACCATAATATAACGCTGTAGTATAAGAGTATGAAAGCGGGATCGTATCCGGATCAGTTAATGTATCGAAAACGACAACTCCAACAACAACAACGGGGGCCAGGCGCATGCAAACGCATCAAATAGGCAGAACCCATAACATTATTCTCTTACTAAGTCAATGTGATCATGTATGGTGTTCCCTCCGCTGCTCGATACCTCGTAGAATCCATGCGAATGTGACAAAATATCACCTGATATTTGTATTGCATGAAACTGTAAGACACAACACACGGGCACGAATTAATCCTGTATGTTTAGTTCGTACCGAAGCACTACCAGTCTAAACCCGATATACTCCTATATCTGATACCGATGCAATCCATGGTAGTTCCCAATATGTATAGTGTATAGAGTAGTCGAATACTTTAGCTAAGGTCCTCAAATCGGCAGATCTGATAGCCTTTAGCGAGCATGAAAGAAGCTTGTTCCCGATATCTGAGTAGTGTTGGGTTCTTGTTCTCAGCACAGTTGGTCATGTACGCGTAGTTGTAGCTTCGGTGGTATTTCAGCAGCCCTTAGGAATTGGGCGACACACGTGATATTAATACGTGTTGCATCAAGATCCGGGTGCTCATGAAGCATGAAAACGACACTCCGTATAACCTATATTCTCCTTGTGGTCTGCTCTGGCGTGGCACTCTCAGCTAGGGCTGTTTTGTCCATTACACGAAAGTGCACGAAAATACTTTCACGTATACACAACGTTTTGTGCAATTCGTGCACTTGCATTTAAGATGTTATTACGTATGTAGCCCATACTAACAAAATATCCGGAATTGACGTCCGAATCCGCCCACAGTATCAACCAAGGCCCCTCCAAGCGAAATATACTCTAGGTAGCTTGGAGTTGCGAGTTCGCTCCATCAATTTTTCAACACGCATTTTTGGTGAGAGTTTTGCACCAAATATGATCTAAATTAGGTTTTTATTTTAAAATTTGACCACACTGGGACCAATGCATGAAACTGCCTGACTCTCAGCGAACGCATTATCGTATCATCATCAAGGTCGTCCCCCACTGTGTTAATAAAACGAACGTGAGTCGAGTTACTCTTTAACAGCAACCACATATTAAAAACATTAGCTTTGGGTTATAGCAGGGGAGTACATTTAATGTGGGTGAAACTACGTAAAATAGTGGTACATATATTAGTTTAGGGTGCATTGTAAGAAACTATGCCTATTTGTAGCCCCTGATTGGCTTGATGTGTCGGTCCATAGAGCACCTCTTGGCTAAAGTTATTCCGAATAACTTGTTCGGTATTCTTTCGTTAACTACTCCATGGCAGCATCGTCTTCAGCAGGATTGCAAGCAAAGTCGTCGATGATAATTCGATCTCGAAGTCGAAGACAGCTCGTGCAGTCAATAATCTCTTCGTTTATTAGCTCATCCGCCCCCACCGAGAGCGACGCGTGATGTCATCCGAGTCACGATCTTAGCGTGTCGAAAGCAGTCTAATGCAAGACCATCGGCCCCGGCGTGACCCAGCACGATTTCACCCACCGCTATATAGTGATCTACGTCGTAGATTCCGCGAGTTCGACCTTCTTCTTCTTTACCGAGCGCCCGCAGTAGTTGTCTGTGTCGATACCGTCGCTTTAACAATGTTGCCGGCATCAAGTGGCTGCACCTTGGCTGTAGTATTGGTGCTCAACTTTCAAATATGCTTTACTGCTATGCCTAATACGAGGTGCTGTCCACGGGTTCTATCATGTATGCCACATTAATCTGTACTAGCAGAGCGCGAACGCGGGAGTAGGTAGTTAACCGCAACAAATACACATACGTTAATCTGTACTACAACTTCATGAATACGGGGTATGAAGTATGAGATATCAAATACGGTATTCGACTTCGATTTTTGATAAGTACAGGCGATTTCCTCGGTAGTTATAGCGTTGGGAGACGCAAATTTATTTTTATTCATGTCTAAGGTGTTCCTATTCACGAATGTACCATAAAAATGGGTCCGAGTTAGGGATGGTTTTGGATTGGACGAATAAAGAATGTTTAAAATTATTCCAAAATTTCAAAACTGTTTAGAAGTGTCCAAAAGTGTCTAAAACTCAGCGACAGCGATCTTCGATCAGTCCTCAAAGAAGCAACGTGTGTATCGCGCCCCCCCCCTCGAAGAAGCAGCAGCTCCGTGACGCCAGATCGAGTTCCTATCGCTGACCAGCGAAAAACCACTCCAGCAGCTCCATCTCCTCCGTCAGCTGCTCGGTCAGCACGCTCCCGGACCAGCCCGTTCCGTTCTTTACCTGGTTCCGTGTTGAGACGCTCTCCACGCTACAGCCCTTATCGCGATGGCATATCGTACTCCAGTCCGTCAAGCCAACAGCTTAACTCGCCCCCAGTAACTCGACCGATAACATTCTCTCCGCAGCCTAGGACGACAACTCATCCCGTCCTCCACGTTCTCCAGCTCCACCCCGCTCGTCTCGTGCATCGCCTTCAAGAACTGGGCATCCCCGTAACAATAAATATGGGGCAACTACTACATTGAAAGGGAGAATGGAAAGAAGCATGGCCGCTGCAAGTATTGCGATACGCTTAAGAAGAATGGAAAGCCCCGCGACAACTTCTGAAGCGCTTGATCAGCTCTACACAGTGTCCTAACGTCCCCTGAGATGTTCAAATTTCTTTGCGACCGAAACCCGTTGCTACGGACCCACTACCTGTCACGGATGTACCTTCCCTCTCTAACCCCAACAAACTCACTCAAGACGCCATCGAAATGGCTTTGGCAAAGATTTTTTTTCGTTTGTGCCCTACCATTTGTGCTGGTTGACGCGCGAATTTTTCGTGAGTTTATTTCTCTCTTGGCTCCAACAATGAAGGTGCCTTCGAGGCACAAGCTTAGCGGGGTTCTATTAAACCGTGTTCGTCAAGAAGTACACCTACATGTTCTCGATCTGATCAACGAGCAAGACTACGTATCTCTGGTCACGGACGGCTGGAGTAATATTAACGGTGCCAGTATCATCGACTTCATGGTAGTTGCGCTGGGTATGCCTACGTTGTTCTGGTCTTCTTGGCCAACTAGGTCTGAGCAACACACAGCTTCATATCTCGCTGGAGAAATTGAGAAGGTGGTTGCAGAGATTGAAAGTACTACGACCGCGCGTGTGATCGTTGTAATAACATACAACGCAAAAAACGTTAGAACTGCATCGGGTCAAGTTCAAACTCGCCGGCCTAATGTGGTAACTGGTGGGTGCTCTGCTCACGTTCTCAATCTTCTCATGCAAGACGTTTGTCGGTTCCCTTTGGTTATCGCAATTGAAAAGAGCTGTGGCTATTACTCGTTTTGTCAGAGTCCATTTGGTGCTACTTGATGAATTTAAGCGGAATCAACAAGGCGTTCGCGACCATGGTTTGAGCGCAAGGAACTCGGTTCTACCAGTGCCAACAAGATGGTACTCAGTTTTTACCTGTCTTCAGAGCGTACTCAACAGCCAAGGCATTCTGGAAAACTTTGTTTAAGTCCTGAGTACGAGCAATTTCGCGATCGTTATCGCGGAACAGCTCCAAACCGAAAAAGTTAGCCTATATCGTAAGCCTAGTTCGTGATATTGGCTTTTGGAGTGGGTTAAGGACTGTCGTTCGACTATTGGATCCAATGATCACTGCACTCAGACACCTAGAGTCGGACTCGGTGTTTGTGTCAGGGGTTTATAAATGGTTTCGGTGGTTAAGGTATCACTCAGCGTACGGGGTTACTTCACCCGAAGACGAGGAAGAAAAAGAGGAGGACACAGCAATCTCACAAACTCCAGCCGTGGCTTCGCTTCAATCTGTCCATGAAAGCCAAGGCTGTATTGAACTACTTAGTGATGCTGTATGTTCCTCAGCAACCGCCTATAGCGGCGCTCAAACAACAGCACAAGCGCGGGAGTACACGCATGTTGGTATTTTGAAGCTTGATGAGCTACAAACATTCTTTCGTACCAAGATAAAGTAACGCTGGAGCTACGTTCACACGAACACGATAGGAATAGCGTTCATGTTGGACCCATCAATGGACCTTGATGGCTTTGTCGGTAACGATGACGATGATGTAGAGGATCAAGCTTGCATACTTGCTGAACGCTGCGGCCTTCTAACCTCAAGTGCCGGTGTGCCTTAATTGACAGCTGAAATCCTTGCTTTTAAAAGCATGAAACGGCGAGGTGGCAGCGTGGTGCGAGAAAGATATTCGGAGTCAAGCCCAAGGGTCCAGAAGTGCGAAAGAGTTCCCTTTGCTTAAGCAAATTGCAAGGATCGTTTTTGCTGTACCCACTTCATCGGCAGCAAATGAACGCGCTTGGAGCAGTTTTGGCCACATCCACTCTAAGAGAAGAAACCGACTTTCCGTTGAAAAGGTCGAGCTTCTTGCCTACATCTACATAAACTTTGGTACAATTGGTATTGGTGAAGTTGATCTTGCTCGGCGCCAATCGTGCCCCGAGAGTATTGAATAACTCATCAATAAGCGTTTACCACCAACCTTAATTATTCTTATCATTAATCGAATACAATAAGCAGCATCATATCGCGTGTGACTTCTACGTTCTCCTGTATTACTTGGTAGCGACCCCTGCACCTGCTCCAACGTCTCGCTCTCGTACTTCTTAAACATGAACGACCCAAACGGCTACGAGTAGAAGACCAGGTAGTACCCTCATCCTGGATCGAGTCGGGCGGCACCATGAATCCCTCTCACCGCATTATTATGCCGGACACGCCGTCCTGCGCAATGCCAATGATGTTGCGCGGCGCGGCGGCGCCGATCAAGTCTTGGACACCACCAGCGGCAGGAACATGTTCAACAGGAAGTGTTCGACGGCGTTGAGATCCGTCAGCAGTGCCACCAGCGCTGTCGACATTGCTGTGGTCAGGAAGGTGCCGAGCAACGTGTCCAGGAATTTGGAGCACGACGCTCAGCGAGCTGCTGGCCCGCTCGCGCGCGAACATGGCGCGCTGCTCAATAAAGAACGGAAGCAGGGGCACTGACATGAACACCAGGAACGCGTATACGTAGAACAGCAGCGTCATCAGGCCCTCCTCCGTCAGGTCGTCGTTCGTACTCAGGTACATGGTCCCCACCATAAAGCTCAGGTAGATGTACATGAACAAGTGGACCCAGTAGATCCCAGGATCCCGGATGTTCAGCCTGTTACTGTACATGAGCACACCGAACTGACACAGCGACGATGGCGACGGCTGCTCAATGTCCGGCTAATGCTGCAGCGTCTTGCGGTCGCTCTTGATGCGGTTGATCAGTTCCTTGCGGATCTCGCTCTGGGTGTACGACTACATCATCTGCGGGACGTCTGCGAAGTCTGTATTCACTAGACTGATGAAGTTCTCGGCCGGGTTCATGTACTGCGGACAGTCGTAGTCTGCTGACGCGAAGTGCGGAATCATTTGGCGACTGGAGCCACAATACGCGGTCTGACCAGCCGACAGCGCTACGATGGTGCGTTGGTTCAGGATGAGGGGGCTTGCGGTGGACAACAGCTCGATGGCGATGCTCAGCGGTGCCTCTGGCTGACGTTTACGACGTCATGCTGGTGCTGTGAAGATTCCCAGCAGCGAGTCCCCGACCCCAAGTATCTGGACATGCGCGTCGACACAACTCCGGAGATGAAAATAATCATGCCAAATCGTCTAAAAGTCCTGTAACCTCTTTTTTCGAATATGCCATTACTTAGTTTGGAAGCCTTTTGAATTTTGGACAGAATTTTGGACATTTTACAGAAGTATTATGGAGCGCTCTGAACACATCCAAAAGTCCGAGTACCTTAAAAAAATATACTAATGAGAGGTAGCTCATTACTGGCGATTCACCCTGTTTTGCTCTCCTCACCACACAAACATTCTACCTCACACTCACCGATACTCAACGACTGCTGAACAAATATGTTAGCACCATGCTCACATACCTAGTTTGTCCCAGAGCTAAACTCATGGGCTCACAGAGTCTACGGTCTTGGGAGCTATTGATACGCTGAACAGCACTGGACTCACTTCCGGTCTGGCAGTTGTCCACCAAATCGTGGCACGAACCGTGCGCCAGTCTACACCCGACCAGGGTACTTGCCAGTTGGGTTTCGTGGGGTGAAGACTCTTCAGAAGAGGGTGTTGCCGTCACAGGTGTGCAATTAGAGTGAAGGTTGAGCCCTTCTCCGTGATCCTAATGATTGAATCATGTCCAAAGTAGTCAAAAGAATAGGCTTCATCGGTTCAATACTCGGATCGGACTTGGCAGCAACAATGCTCATGTGCAGTTATGACTGTTTCCATAGTCCCGAGCCCCAGAAAAGGAATATTTGACTTCAAATGTATTCCATTTTACGATTGAGGGGTGAGAGGGAAAAATATCTTGTGGTCAACGGGAACTGTTAATTCATTGCTATGGAGGGAGTATTTCATTCCTTGGGATTACTACCGAGGGGATCGTCTGTATTCCGTCTTCAAACATCCCAGCTCAAAACCCGAGGAGATGACGCAACCCATAATTAGCATGGAATTAGATGACCATATGGCATAATTAAGGCTGAGAAGGGAATTGATAGAACTAAGCCAAAATAATTGGGGCGAGAATAACTTTTACATGCAACCAATGTATCTGCATTTCAGCAAAACTGGACCAAGGAATGAAATGTTTTTTGTTTGTTTTTCGAAAGTTCGGATTGCGAAAAAGGGACGGGGACAATCCAGTATCTTGTCATTTACCATTATTACGGTAATTTGGAGCGTAGACAATTCCGTGTCTATCCATGAACTTTCCATTTGTTGGAATGTTATTCATTTCCAGAAGGTGAACAGCTAACAAGTTATACATTATGTTTAAAGGGTGTATTTGCTTGCAGGTACCACATACTCTACTAGTAGTAGATGCTAACCGGTGCCTACTTTGCATTGCACAATTACTGTTGCTGTTGTTGTTGTTGTTGTTTCACAACGTACTTCCGGTGGATGTTTTTTGTTTTTACCGAAACAGGACAATCACCAGTGTGATTACGACCGCGAATGCCATGGGCCATATGGATATATATTATATATGACAAGCTCTCGACAATCTTATAGAGCTGAGCGTTGTGAGGTAGACGAGTATGTGCACTACAAACCACATGCAAAACTCCTCCAAGAACTAATTTTCGATAAGTAGCATCCAGTTCGTGCTTCTCACTTCGCTAATTGATCTCCAACAGGCAAGACCATGCGTTGTCGCTACGCTGCGCTCGCACTAGCTATAGTATTCTTCGCTAGCTCAAATGCAACCGAAGATTCGAAGAGGGTCACTGCTGATATCCCTGCTGCCGTTCGGTCCATCTCTGCGGGCGTGAAGCACTACAGGCTCTTGAGGGCCGAAAGCACCGCGGATGCGAACGACGAAGCGAGAGGATTCAGTCTCAAGTCAATTCCTGGTCTCTCGAAACTCACAAGTATGTTCAAGACAAAGATCACGCCTGGTACACTCCTAAACTGGGCCAACAAGGAGAAGTCGCCGGACTACGTGTTCCGAAAGTTAAAGCTTGACAAGACAGGGCATCAACTTTTTGACAACCCGGATATCAACGTTTGGGCTGCTTATACGAATGCCGTAGTGAAATCGAATGCCGACGACGCGATGCTCACGACATTGAGGGCTCGCTACAGCGACGATGCTCTAGCCAAGATGTTCGAAGCGGGCAAAAAGGTAACACAAAGCGAAAGCGTCGCCACTAAACTACAAAGTCGGCAAATGGAAAACTGGATGGCCGCTAAGAAGACACCAGATGATGTGTTTAAGATTCTTCTTCTTGACAAGGCTGGTGTCGGAGTCCTCGACAACTCGGCCCTTGCAGGTTGGACCACCTACATGAGGTTCTTCAACTCCAAACAGGCGAATAGGAAGAATCGAGTCACGTTGATCAGTACACTTACGACACACTACAAAGATCGAGGGGTTCTGGACATTATCGAAGCGGCCAAGAAAGTACCCAGCACGGCTAGGACTGCGAAACTATTGGAAGCGGATCAGATTCAGTTTTGGCTGAAGAACGAAAGAACACCAGACGAGCTTCTCACGTTACTGTCCCTCGACAAGGCCGGAGACCAGCTTCTAGCTAGTCCACGTTTCCAGACTTGGTCCAAGTACATTAACTACTATAATAAGGAGTACCCCAGCGAGGCTACAACTGTGATGGAGAAACTGACGTATAATCTTGGCGAGGAAGAAGTTATAGGGATACTTGCAGCAGCGCGGAAGGTACCAAGTACAGAAAAGGCTGCCGCGAAATTACAAGCCGAACAATCCAAGATCTGGCTCAGTGCAGACAAAGACCCGGAAGAACTTTTCAAGTTGTTACAACTCGACAAGACAGGGGATGATCTCCTAGACAATCCACAGTTTAAGTATTGGGGGAAGTACGTGGAGGATTTCAATTTGAACCCGCAACTCGAGGATCTAGTGTCCATTATTGACATAGTACGGAAGAACTTTGCTGATGACGTACTGGCGCATATGATTGTCACCGGGATGAAGGCTCCGAGTACGAAGAGTATGGCCCAGCGAATGGAGGACGAGCTCTTCAAGGGATGGATAACAAACCTGAAGACGCCTGACGTTGTCTTTATGTATCTCAAACTGAATAAGGCGGGAGAAAAGGTATTCGAGAACCCACTCTGGAGCATGTACACAAAGTACTTAGACCACTTCAATAAAGTGGTACCGATGAAACAAACTACGATGATATCGGCATTTGCGAGAAACTACGACAAAGAAGCACTAGCAAAAATTCTCATTGCGGCGAAGAAAGATCTGCGTACGGAGAGACTCGCTTCGAAGTTGTATACTGAACAAATCCAACGCTGGCTGACTACCAAGGACCCGCCAGACGAGATCTTCAAGGCGCTCAAGCTTGACGAGGTAACAGATGACATTTTCACCAGCCCATTATTCAATACCTGGAGCGCGTACTTGGATGATTTCAATGCGAAGTTCCCCGATGAGAAAGTTTCTATGATCGATACGTTCCGTACCAACTTTGACGATGCATTTCTGGCGAAGATGTTCGTCAACGCAAAGGAGATTCCGGCCATGGAACAGCTCGCGACCAAGTTGCAGGCTGACCAGCTTCAGCGTTGGCTGGCGAATCGAGATACCCCGGATGATATTTTCAGAGCACTCAAGCTTAACGCTGCAGTGGACGATGTTCTAGCTAATCCGTTGTTGAACACTTGGGCCACATACTTGGAGGACTTCAATGCCAAGTTCCCGAGGTCGAAAGTGTCGATGATTGATACCTTCCGAGAGTTTTTT